TCATTCGTTCTTTATATAATGCTATTGTAGATACGTAATCTGTGATGTACATTTTTGTTCATGTTTGAATGCCAACTGGAACTAATTGGGCTACAAATGTGTTATAGGGTATTAATTAAACGATTTGGCTCCTTTACTGAATTCTGATTGGTGGACCTGTAGTTTTAATTGCACGCGTGCTATTAATATAGAAATAGACAACGATTTTTCATGGAATTAATGAGCATATTTAATTTACTAAACGAAAAATAATTTAATGACTGTATTTCAAAATATATTTTCTAAATGTTTCATGATCTACAGTATATTTTTGGGAAAAAATTAACTTTTGGAGATATACAAGGAGGAAAGAATTTCTTTGGAAAGGATTTGCTTATGAATCTCCTGCATATCAGCGCTCCCAATATTTTCTCCAGGAAATCTGCTATAACCACTATACAGTTTCCTCCTTTCACTAGCTTGTATGTTTCAATAGACTGGGAAACTTTTTCCTTCATCATTCCTTGAAGTATTCAGTCACCACCTGACTAATATTAAGTAACGATACTGACAAATCCAGGTGCGTGAGGAGAGATTGGGCACGTGAAGGAAAAACTCCATCTCCAACTTTCCTTCTTTGTGAGAACGCTTCAAAGGAAATTCTGTGGTGGCAGCAGAGATACTGTAGAAATCCATAATGGCTATTAATTAAGGATTTATGAGGTATCAACCACAAAGAATTATATAATATAAATGTAATATAAACAACCATACATGTGTTTCGGGAATAATTTATTCCATATTCAGTGGCTCCAAGAATCATAGCTTAAACATGTAAGATTTAAGTCGGCGTCATCTAGCATGTCGTGCAGATTCAGCCACAGTCATAGCCAGGCGATGGCGTATTTTTGAGGAGGAGCAGGAAGAGGATTCCTAAACCGCATCGCAAGAAAAGTAACCACAGGAATGTTTCTACAGAATTGGAATCAACAACCCAATGACGTTACTTTAATGTAAGATACATCGTTCTATCCATACGTCGTGAAGTTGTAGCCATTTCTGTTAAGAGTAAAACCGATAAAGAACATAATTAAACTAGTCAGTGTATTCTGAAAACTACCAAATTAACATATTGCGTTGAGAACATTTGAAGGCAGTTACCAGTTCGGTCAAGGAGCCTCCCTGGGTGAGAGCATACCTTACTGACCTCTGACCTCCCAGTGCGCGGGTTCGATCACGTCCCGGGTGCCCGAATTTTCGAAGGTGGAAAATCCTCAGAAGTCATGCCACTCCTGTGTCATGTAAATAAAACCTGGCAGATGTCCGGCAAAATTAAATCCCTCGACAACACCCGCCCTAACGAGATATCACTTTCTCCCAACCAGATAATTCGGATATAACAACTGATACCGACATCTGACGGTGAACGTGAGATTCAAATCCCAGGCTTATTTAGGGGACCGCCCGCGAGGTACGCCTGCTCGATAAAGGTCCCTAAACACGTCTCGATAAAGGTCCACAGACCCCGGCTTCTAAAGAAGCCTGGTTCGAAAATTCAGAGAAAGCAGCGGAAAACTACTCTGAGTATATTCTCCCAAGAAAACACATCATGTAACTTCCTTCTATCGAAGACCAGGTCTAAAGAAAGAAACCAGCTCGTTCACGTATAACAAAGTCACGTTACGAGGGTCTCGGGCAGATGTGAATAGCAATCTGAGAGGAGATTTTGAAACAGAGTGCCTAGAAATAAAAGAAATAAAAATAAAAATAGCGTTTATCAGAAACGAATAGAAAAAAGTTATCAGCTAATGATACCATCAATTCAATATCAGTTTCATTACTTTCTTTACATGTGATGTTAGTTGTTACAATTGTTAGTTTCATAATATTGACTGATTGTGAATAGAAAAATTAGGAAATTTTTTTAAAAGAGTATTTTTCATGGCATTATTTATACAGTTATCAAATATTTCTAGACATAAATTTAATTCAAACCAAATTCTAGATTTTCTTGAGCAGGCGTATGTCGAACGTCTCCATGCAAAAGTTTTCAGGTGCCTGAATTCGAAGGAAGGTGATAAGGTAAGGAGGGTTAATGGAGGTGAGTCAGCACCCACTGATTCCAGGCGCCTCAACAAATTAGGTCATTAGTGCATGTTATCTTTTGCGAAGTTTCTATGAGAGAGAGAGAGAAAAAGAGAGAGAGAGAAAAAGAGAGAGAGAGAAAGAGAGAGAGAG